AAACACAGACGTTATTAAACTGCACGCAAGCCTTTTTTCGAACAGGAACTGATTATTACGGATCTAGAAAGGCAAACTGAAACATTACGGGAACATAACGGCTCTCTTCAAAAAGTAATTTCAATCCTACAATCCTACAACTCCCAGCACCAACACCCCAGCTCCATATTGATCACAAGCATCAGGGTAATAATAGCTGTTTAAAACTTATGATTTTGTGCGTTCAATTAGGAGCTGGTAAATTAGCTGCGTATTCATTCCTTAATCCTGTATACCACCCTCCTAAATATTAGCAGTTTTGCAAGGATTCGTTTCAGTGATCGTATCTGTATATTTTCCTGTTTTATACATTTAACTTTACTTATATTTGTGAGTGTTTATATCAGTAAGTGCTAGTATCTTGTGTAATATATTTCTAGCTTTTAAAAAAAAATTAATTCATTTTCCCCCTTAATGTGTGTTGTATAATTATATAATTCTGGCTTACAATAATTTATCTAATTAAGTATTTATGCTGATATTTTGTGTTATATACTTCTAGCTAATAATAATAATTTAATTGATTTAGTTTTTATATAGAGAACGGTTTCAGTGCTTGTATTTTGTGTGATATCATATTCTATACCTTTATTATACAACCCATAGACTTATTAATTGATCTTTACTAATTAAGCAGTGTACAGCGCTACTGCTACTTTATTAATTGAGCAGTGTGTTACCTGCCATATTTGAATTGAGCAGAGTATTTGACATATTTAATTCAGTCATATTTGATTCAGTGATCGCATTATATTTGAGTTGTCATATTTGATTCAGTGGTCGTATCTTGTATATTTTCCTGTTTGATACATTTAACCATACTTATATGTGTGAGTGTTTATATATCAGTAAGTGCTAGTATCTTGCGTAGTGTATTTCTAGCTTACAAAAATTTAATTAATCAAGTATTTCCCCCTTAATGTGTGTTGTATATATAATTCTGGCTTACAATAATTTAACTAATTAAGTATTTATGCTGATATTTTGTGTTATATACTTCTAGCCAATAATAATAATTTGATTGATTTAGTTTTTATACAGGGAATAGTTTCAGTGCTTGTATTCTGTGTGATATCATGTTCTATACCTTTATTATACAACCCATAGACTTATTAATTGATCTTTACTAATTAAGCAGTGAACAGCTCTACTGCTACTGTATTAATTGAGCAGTGTGTTACCTGTCATATTTGATTGAGCAGAGTATTACTTGCATTACTTGTCACTTTTCCAGATTGAGCAAAGTATTCCCACTATCCTGATTGAGCAGTGTATGACCAGTGCTTATGTATACTCATACAACTTACATACAACTTATCTAGCGGCATTTGTACACTGGCAAATACACCTAAATACCCCTTGATTGCTATACTCAACTTCATCATCACCATATTCCTTCCAGCACAAAACCAGCACTATGCCTGATGCAGAAGCGTCAGTGCGCCTTTGCAAATTCGACGCAGCAACAATCGTAGTAACTGACAGTTTTAATTACGAACAAAAGATCAATACACTCTACGAGAAAGCCAAAGACATTGGCATCAGTACAAAAAGTAACAAGTACCTGTTACTGACAGAGCAAAGAAAGAAACTCTTGGCCATTTTAGAGGCCTTCCGGATTCTAGCCACCATAGTACCTGCTGCCACTCCACCTCCAGCTAAAACTAACACAGGTGTTAATACCGATTCAGGACTATCCTACTCTCCACCTCAACCAACAATACACCCAGCAGCAGCTCCGGTTATCGAGCGTTCCTACGCGCAAGTGGCATCACATTTTACGAAACACACACATTTTATTTACCCAAAAGAAGACTCGAACGCCACAAGGAAAGAACTAAAGGAACGCCTGAAAACGCCAAATTCTCTCTCCCATCACTAAGTGTAAAAATACACTCTGTTAGAAATATCCACAAGGAGGGGATTGCTGTTGACTGCGCCACCAAAGAGAATCTCACCCACCTCACAAAGACACTAGAAAGCACGTGCTTTCTAGTGTGCACGTGTTTTCTAGTATTTGTTTTGGCAAATTGTTTCCCTTGCGTACGCAAAGGAAACAATTTGCCAAAACAAAACTGCCAGCAGTCAGATACCTAGAGTAGCAATCCACGCATAAAATTAGACGTCACCAAGGAGGACATTTAACGGGCACTAGGCTCTGAATAAACCTTACCAGCAGCACTACAAAAATCTTATACCGGCTTAAAAGATAAAGCAAAATGGCGTCAAATGGGTGCTGGAATGTCAGCCATCAGCCTTCACCGAATCATGCAATACCCAGAATGTACTTTGGGGAGAGTGCACGAATTGCGGAATTCTCAACACCAGCGATGCTTCCAGTGCCAGGAATTCGGGCACAGGCAGCAAGACTGCAAGTCTACTGTGCTTACTACTCCGGAAACCACAACGTCAAGAACTGCAAATGCGGGATGGCCACTTGCATCAACTGTGCAGACTATAACTACAGAAGTAATAACAAAATATCCTGCGCACACCCCGCCTATGATATCTCCTGTCCCACCTACAGCAGGTACGTTGAAAGAATCAAACGCAACACAACCTATGAGTAATAGCACTGTGGACATTCATCCATCTGTGCCTACAGACCACAACAACCAAGTAACATTTAGCCCCACAAAATGCGTCCAGATTAATCTGCAAAGAGGGTCAAGTAGTTAGCCTTCCTTTATCGTGGAAAGTCTATCAACGTAAAGCAGAAACTAACGAACAATCCCCAAGAGCCGCAATAGCATGCACCAATCCATCCTGGTCTCCACTAGTCATCAAGCAAAAACGAGACTTTGTTGTCATCTTACTAGCATTCAATAACGCACAGTACACAATAGCTTCAATTTACTCTTCCCCAACGGACAGTATCACTGGCACCACCTCAAACTTACTTGACACCATACAACGATGCCCTTCAACCCCTCTGCTTCTTAGTGGTGATTTTAATATGCAGATACCACGACGAAGGGACAGGAGCTCGAGAACTTTCTGGCAACCAATAACATTCATCTATTAAATACACCCGATTCCCCACCTACATTTGATAATACCTATCATGTGGGCTGGCCAGATCTCACCCTCTGTTCAAGCAGCATCGCAAACCTAGTACAGGACTGGACTGTGATCGATGATGAGAGCTGCTCCGATCACAGATACCTTCACTTTCTCATAAGCTGTGACACGAAAATCACAGTTCTACGTAGGTACAGGCTTCCAGGCAACAAATCCACCCCTCCACTCGCTCCTTCACACGCATCTTAAATAATGAGGAAGACAACCTTGCGCTTCACAATAGCCCAGAAGGCATGGAGATTTTCACAGACTGACTAATTGAAAACCTTAAAGCAGCCTGTAGTGAACTTTTCCCTACACGCGCAGCAAAGAAAATGCAAGGAGTTACGTGGTGGATAAAAGAGCTCAGACAACAAAGGCAAAAATGCAGAGCTATCAAACGCCGCATACGTACCACCACCAATGAAGATACGGAAGTCGAACTATTGGCAGCATTCCGAAAAGAGCGCACTCTGTACAAAATCAACATATTAGCGGCCAAACTTATCAGCTGGAGGAAATTTTGTACCTATAACAGCAATCCGTATGGAATCCTCCACAAGCCAGCCTCAAGTAAAATATATCAGCCAGCGCAAATCTTTATGCAGCCACCATAGACAAGCAACGACAATCCAGCAAAAAATACAGCCTCCACTATCCTCAACGAAGTTTTTCCCAAAGACAACGCGGAGGAAGATACGCCAGCACAGAAAATTGTTCGCATGAATAACAACATCCCACCGACTCCACATGATATACCATTTAGTGACAAGGAAATCAAGCAAATTTTCCGACACCTACCCCTGAAAAAGGCCCTCCGGTCCCGGACGACCTGGACTATATAACATCATCAAAGTTGCCTACAAAGCACGCCCCTCCTTCTTCCACTAAATTCTTTAACCAACTGTTTGACAACCAAATATTCCCGGCAGGCATTCAAGAAAGGACAAGTTCGTCCTATTCCTCAAAAAGAACAAAAGCCCGCAAGATCCGCGCTCTTTTCGCCCGATATGCCTTTTGCCAACCCTGGGCAAAATTTACGAGAAATTAATTGTTAACAGACAAATATCATCTCCATAGCAATAATCATCTCAGCCCCAGGCAGTATGGCTTTCGCACTGGTATGTCTACTACGCACACCCTCTGCAAAATTCGTGAAACAATTCAACGCAATAGCACTTCAGTTTTCCATACAGGTTTCATATCCATTGACCTCCAGAGTGCGTTTGACACACTCTGGTGCCCAGCGATAAGACAGGCCCTCCGAGACGCACAGTGTCCAGCCAACCTCTTCAGCGTTTTTAGTAGTTATCTAGAGAATCGTAGTCTTCTCATAGCCACCAACAACGACACTACCTTCAAAGTGCAAGAAAGAGGATGTCCCCAAGGCTCTTGTGCTGGATCGATTCTCTGGAATTTAACATTCAACGCTGTACTGGATGCAAACTGGCCACGACATACATGTGTCATCGCCTACGCAGACGACGCAGCTCTTCTTGTCAAAAGTCGCACTCGTGCGGAGCTCGAGAAAAACGGCACCGAAGTCTGCTCCCTCCTTGCCAATATCTGCAGCAATCTAAAGCTTACAATCTCTACCGCAAAGTCATCAGCAATAATAATACCCAAAGCAGGCACGAATCCAACGCGCCGCCCAGCATCAAACTACAAGGAGCCAACATAAAGATTGTCCAAACGCTAAAATATCTAGGTGTAATCTGGGATAAAAAACTAACCTGGATCCCTCACATCCAAGAACTAAAGAACAAAACATCAGCTATAGCCAGAAAGACGCGTGCCTTCAAGGTAGAAATTGGGGTCAGAATCATCATATTCAGAAGATCCTCTAACATGCGGTAGCTGAAAAAATAGTCTTGTATGCTGCTGCCGTATGGGCCCAGCCGATGGGAGGACGAAAGATCAAACATCTTACATTACTTCAACGACCATTCGCCCTGAATCTCTGTAAAGCTTACCGCATCACAGCCACCAGCTCAGCAACAGTCCTTGCAGGGCTCATTCCACTCCACATACGGGCAGAACAAAAATCAGTCTACACCACCCTCATATACCTCCGCAAAGATGCAACATTGGACAACATAACATACAGCCCTCTGCAATTTCAAAGCCCAGGTAACACTTTTCACAGTCATCCCGCACGTAAAGGTACAGGAATAAGCATTAACATCTCACGGATACAGCCACTCTCAGTGACGCGAGTTTCAAGGGATACGCAAATATACACCGATGGCTCTAAGCAGGAAGACGGAGTAGGCAGCGCCTTTGCACACTATGACAAAGGAAGAATCATCCATGTATGGAAAGGACGTCTTGACTTAAACAAAAGTGTATTACAGGCGGATGTGCAGGCAATTATAACGGCGGTAGATTACATTTTCAATAATAATATAGAACGGGCGAAAATTTTCACAGACTGTATGTCAACACTTCTAGCACTAGATAATCACAACCACACCTCGCCCTTGATCATCAAATTACAACAACTTTTGCAGCGCAACCCGCAGAAACATCTCTCCTTAACATGGATCAAAGAACATGCAGAAAATGAGGGGAATGAAGCAGCTGATAGCCTGGCCAAACAAGCAGCCACTGATGAAAATATCACAATCCCAGCCCTCCTTCCTACCTCAAAGGGCTATTACGAGGTCAAGGCCTAAACCTTTGGCAGGAAGACTGGACGCACTGCACAACTGAAAGACGTACATACAGCTACCTCCCGAAAGTCGGCACTGAACGCAACATTGCACTAGCTCCTATTACGGCTTATATTATGGGACACAGCCCATTCCCGACCTACTTCAATAGACATGGGCATAACAAGCACGGACATATGCGCCTGCGGAGCGGAAGGCTCCCCAGACCACTATGTTTTTGAATGCCATCTGACAGCAGGAAATTACCTCCCTCCTCCCATCAACAATAGAGAAGCTTATCACCGCTTCCTTATAAAGCACAAACCGGCAGTAAATACAATCTGCAAAGTTGTTAACAAGCTCAAGAGAATGGGCCAATATTTGTGCTCTCCTCATTAACCAAAACTCTCAAGGCATGATACACTAACTAAGTCAGCATGCAATTCCACATTCTCAGACACAAAAGTCTACCCCTAAAACTTACATAAGTCCCTATTACAGACACTTATCAAATAATGTACAGTCAAATGTTTCCAACATGTATTTAACATTTCCTCTTCTGTATATGCATAATACTTAAATTTTTTAACCTATGAGCCTGTATTTTAATCCTATTATTTTGTAACTGTATTTCTGTATCTGTATATTTAATTTGTATTTTTATTTGAATTTTATTATGAATATGCAAAATTACCATAGCAAATTTCAACAACAAATGTCAAAAAGGTAAAACGAATGCAATCTGTCCTTGTATGGCCATGTAAATGTTCTTGTTAATATCCTAAAAAGCTCCCGAGGCGGCCTCTTGAGGCCTCAGGGAGTTGTTCCTGGTTAGTGGAGGGCGCGGGATACATGCCTGTTTACCTCTGTTAGACATCAGGCGTCCCTGTCCTCCGGTACCAACCCACCAACCAACCATCAGAAGAGCCAGAACCTCCGTTTATACTAGTTCAAAGAAAGAAAAATAAATGCCGTCAGCACTTAACCCTACCAGAACACATCCTTATAATAGCTTCAAAACACCTAAAAACATACAACAACAATTGGCAACTCAGCTGAAGGCGAAGAAGTTGTGAATTCGTATCAAGCAAATTAGGCCTACAAGATCAAAAGAATTATTAATCCGTTGTGTTTTTAAAGAACACATCACAAAGCTAAGATTCTATTTCATCGGATAAAAACAATTGTGATTTCTTACAGCTACGAGTACCAAAACTGTTAAGGTATTCCATAATTGTCTTTGGTGTACCATCTGAATTTACAGCAGACGATCTTATTTCAGCTTTTCAGGCTTATTTACCTTCTGAGAAAGAAGGAGCAATTCACCCTAAAACTCCGATTCATCGTGCGGATTCCAAGACCACTCGGATAATTAACTTGGATAGAAATTATTTTAATAAACTAGGACAACAAGGACGAATTTACTCGAGATTCAATTCCTTCCTGCCCGCTTAGACGCTACGTTCGCTTACTCCGCTATTTCAACTGTCAAGGCCATCAGAAACTCCTTCTTGTGTCCAGTGTGCTAAAGTACACAAAGTACCAACTCCTAACTGTCCGACTGTTCTAACTGTAATTCCGACGGGCATAAACTGCACAAACTCTAACCTAAATAAAGGTACTCATTTTGATTGCAGTCACTCGGCTAATTCAAAGTTATGCCCGACTTACAAAAGGGAACAGCAGCAACTATTGAGGAACCTCAATCAGAATTAAGTTGCACTTCCGGTTATAGTTTCAAAAGTCTAAAATTTCTACAGTGTAAATTACAAAGATCCATAGTTGCAACAAATCATATGATTCAGAAACAGTCTGAATTGTGAACGAACATAGGCCTGTTTCAAGAACCATACACTGTTAAAGATAACACTCTGATTGGTTCTACTTCTAGTAATAAAATATTTCTGCCTCACAATAAATTGGCTGCAATAGTTTATAATGGCTCCTTACCTCCCATGATATGGAAGACAACTGAGCATACTATCCCCCATAGCCTTGATTAGAAAGTCCTCCACGAAGGCATCCCTCCCCTTAGGCAGATAGCCCTAGTGTGCTTTGCCGTATTCTCAATACACCACCTACACCACACCCCCATAGCCTTGGATGCAGCAGAAGGTTGCTTTCTGATCGTTTCTGCTTATTCCCCCCCAGTGAAAATATCGATTCCTTACTATTTGGACTAGATTACCTTAAATTACCCTCATTCAAAAATACATTTTGAATGAGGGTAATTTAAGGTAAGAATGCATCAAGTTCACTATGGGGTGCAACCTCTGAAAACTCAAGATCGGCCCCACTCATAGATTTCATTGAATTTAATCGCTTGGTGATTCTAAATTCTACTGATTCTCCACCGATGTGTTATATTCTTCGTGCAACGTACTTTCGACTATTAACCTAGTACGCTAATACAAGATTGGACAGTCCATGGCTTTATCACTTTAAGTGATCATAAAGCTGTTACTTTTAGTTTTCATGCCACCCTCACTATAATTTTCAGAACACGCTTCAGAACTTTCTATGGTGAAACTACAAAACTAAAGAGGCACTTGTCCCTTTTTATAGACACGTTCACCAAGTTCCTGGCTCCAGTTCTGCACAAAACAGTTGATAGCTACGGGACAGTTTTCAAAATCGCCACAGATAATATCTTCAGGCCCACAGTTATACCAGCAGATATACTCCCAACGGCTGAGTCACAAACAAATGCAATAAGATTTGTTCTTTCTTCCCTTTTCAAGAATGATCCACCAACTGTTGGCACAGCACAGCTATCAAAACTGAGAGCCAAATTCAATAACTATGATTCACATAGGCAGTCTACTGAACCTCCTCCAAGTAAATCTGAACTGACAAAAATAATAAAACAACTTAACCCCAAAAGGCCCTAGGGCCGAATAGTATAATCAATTCTATCACCCAAACGCTTCTTAAAATTGCTCCGGACCTCATCATAATATTTATAAAAACTTGTTGGAGACTCCGACACTTCCCTTTATATCAAAAAGAGTAGAAGTGGTACTATTTCACAAGAAAGGTAAGGATCCTATCAAGCATTTTCTTATCGTTCTATCTGTCTTCTTCCAGCTTTTGGGAAGCTCCTGGAACGAGTGATCCTGGGTTACCTTATTTCGAAATAATGTTCTGTACCCCTCACAATTTGGTTGTATTAAAGGCAAATCAACAGAAGAGGTAATTTCGAGTCTTCTTTCAGTTATTCGCGCCAACAGAGAAAATAATCTACACGCTCCGATTTTCAGCTTAGATATTCAAGGAGCCTTTGAATCTATGTGGTAGGTGAACATCCTTGATACCTTGGTCACTATGGAGTGTAAAGGCGATCTCGTAGACCTCATAAGAAGCTATCTCAAAGACCGCTTCATTCAAATTATTTTAGACTCTGGAATTGTTACACAAGAGTTGCATCGAGGATTCCCTCAGGGCTCATGTTGAGGTCCTGTCTTATGGACAGGGTCGCAAATTCATTACTCTAAGGTTCAAAAATACCCTAAAACAAAACTACTATTTCAGTCTCTAAGATTCGAGTGTGACAATAGGAGCTGTAAGCCCCTCTTAAACGAAAGCCCACAATTAAATTGTATAGCACCTCTATTAAGATAGTTCAACAAGTCAAGTATCTAAGCCTCATAATTGACTCTAAACTTTCTTGGCTGCCGCACCTGAAAAATATTAAGTATCGAATTGGAATTTTGAATAATAACATGATGGCGGACTACGGCTAAAAACTGGGATGTCTCTTCTTCCTTACTAAAAAATTTGCATCAGAAAGTCACAGAAAGAATCTTTCTGTAATGTGCTGGTATGTGGGCAACTTCTTTAACTAAACATGAACGCCGTCAACTTCTCTCCATACAAAAAATGCCCCTTCTGCATATCATTAGGAATACCTCTCAATTTTGACAGCAGTCCTGCAGGTACTAACTGGTATTCCTCCTCTCGACCTAACTGCAGAGCGAGAAGCAATACATTCCTGTATATTACGACTGAAACAAACTATTACTCTATGGAACGTTCACTTTTCAGCTTCGGACTACGAGGCATCAAACTACTTCGGACTACGAGGACTACAAAACATCCAAATTATCTTTGCCAATCCCTCCTAGTACGACTTAGGTCCTTATATTTGCTCTAGATCACCCCAGTTACCAGTTCGAGGGATCGAACATTTTTACAGATGGTTTGTATAATGAGGCAGGCACAGGCTGTGGTTTGTGTGTCATGTTAAATGATGTCCTGAAACACATTTGGAAAAGAAGATTAAGTAATCATAATATTGCAAGCTGAATTGACGGCAATGAAGAAAGTTATTTAACTCTTCTATAAATTCGATACACAAGCCCATATCTACAGTGACTCTGTACCTAGTTTGGAGGCAAGTGATGATATAAATTTCAGAAACCCTCTAGTAATAGAAGTTCAAAAATTACTTTTCAACATAACGTCAGGATTTCGTCCACGGTTACATAGGGGCATAGTTGGTACATAGGGGCATAGTTTGGCAAAGAGCGTGCTGACGACTTGTCAAGCAAGCAGTAACTGGTACGAACTTGCCGGAACATCCCTTGCCTTTGCCAAGTTCCTTTCTTAAATAGGATTCAGGGATTACTTACAATTACTTAATAAATCACTGGCGATCCGGATGGAATATTGCAACAATGGGAAGACGGACTTTTCGTTTTTGTCCCCATGTCTCTACTAAGATTCTTACATTTTTCCTCTGCTTTCTTTCAGGCCATAGACCTTTCATAACATATCTTCATCGATTTGGTATTACAGAACTGGACACTTGTGAATGTGGCCAACAACAACCTCCGGATCATTATGCCTTTTTCTGTTGTCTTACGAAACCATTTTACTTGACCAAGCCATCTGATCAATAGTGGGAACAAAGGACAACACATCTATTGAAAACTAAAGGAGCTCTTACTAAACTGACTAAAATATTGCAATTCTGTAATGAAAGATATTCATGCTCATCAACTATAGCCAAGTAATCGTTGTAT